TGTGGGGAGGTTGGAGGGATCACCATAGGTCAAATTCTTTGCTTTGGACGACATTTCTGATGATGAGGGTTTGGCTGGCTGGTCTTGCTATATAGCGGTAATGCTTGAGAGGTTGTCCTTCACAGATTGAGAGAGAGCACAGATGGATTCGGATCTGGCGCAGATGTAGCCTCGTCCCCCAGCGCAGATGCACGCTAAAAGCTCTGGATGCCTGCTACAAGAAGCTCGATCGTGTTGATGTGCTTGGCGAGACATGGAAGCTCTCAAGCTCAAGACCAGCACCTCAACACATGCCTGCCGACCTCGAGCTCAAGCCAATAATAAAGGCAAAGACCTTCTCTCTTGCAAGGACCCGGGATTTCTACGTGGCAGACAAGTCTTCGTTTCAAACTTATTTCGACCCCGACAGCCCGATAACTCCCACTCGGGGTCCAATTAGGCGAATTGAGTTGGCCAACCTCTATAACATGACTTCCTTTTACTAAATTCCGACCAGCACGATTAAGAAGGACGACTGGCCCAGGAATTGAGCAGAAACAGAGGCCGAGATCAACGTACGAGGCTGTGGCACCTTATAAATACTCTTGGGAGGACGAGGCCAGAACTTTCTACCTAGTGAGGTATTTCGCAGTTCGTCAACCAAACTATTCAGAATACGCACTTGTGCATACGAGGGGCATTGAGATGGGACTAAGAAAGCACTACTGTACATACCTCATCGTTAAATCGAACACTGGGCGTTCGACAGATGGATGTGATGTACAGTAGCGTCGTGAAATTGAGTGATCGATTTGTATGTCAATCCTGTGCTGATCGACTACTCATTTTCACGCCGCAACTGTACCTGGATAGCTTTGCAGATTACAGCTCCGGAAACGAGAACAACACCAGACTACAATCGAACCAGCCTCGATCTTGAGCCCTCTACGAGGGTCAGGGCACGAGACTAACTTGAGCTGTTCATTCAGATTTATAACGCTGCATGCAGATGCATGGGCCAAATATTTCCTAGTCTCATGATCAAAGAACAGCATATAGCCGGTAGATCTTCCACACCAAAGGACGAGACTAAACTCTGCCATATATTCTCGGCTCTGCCAGCTATGCAGACCTTTAGGGGGGGTAATAATGATGTTTTCCTGGATCTTCCAGCCTTGTTTTAAATATCGGAGTTATGGCTAGGGAAACCATCATCCCCACCTTTCAATTCTGTAGCCTCTGGCCCCATTCCCTCCAGCGCGTCGGCGCAATCATGTTCAATTCCAGTTACGAGTACTCAGTAAAACAACCCCATCTACTACCCTCATCCTTGGGTTTAGATCTTATGCCTGTATGAGATGAAAGTAGCCTAATACGTACCTGCTTTTGACTCTGCATCAGACTGTCTAGGAAGCGAGGCGGTTCATAATGTAGCCACGGTAGATACTCCGAGTAAAACACAGGTGTGTCTGTGCGGAGAATAAGTACATCGCTACGGCACTTGAAGCTCGACCCACCATAATCAACGCCGGTCGATCAACTGTCACGAACTCCGGGCGGAGGGTGCCAATTCGGTAGCTTATCTTGGGCTCGGGCCACAGCTCATCCTGGCTTCCCGCAAGATTTCAAGCTTTCAGCCCTGCGGCCAGGCCAGTGTCACCGGCGCTTTTTTTAGTGGTACCGGTCCCTGCAAGCCGTTGGAGATCGCCCTGGTCCATCCCACGTGGGATCCGGATCGTGATGCAGATTGCGCACAGGGCACCGCCAACTCTCCACCAAACAGTCGAATATATATGCCATCACGAGATCTCTTGGGCCCAGCTAGCTGTTCAATACCATTCTGCCTGGCCAGGAGCCGTCACCGCCCCTTGACGTCGAGATCCACCTAGCCGGCCTGGCCGTATCCATATCAGCCTGCACTGCCACAGGGTCGACAACAGAGCGCCAGGCCCACTTCACACTCGAGACTGAGCTCACGCAGCCATTGGCATATATATTGCTGGCCGAGGAGCAGATTCCTGCCACCGCTCATCGCCGCGGGTGGGTACGTCCGGGTGCAAATGTGTGTGCTCCGTCATCGGAATCCGAGACGACCCTCCCTCAGGTGCGCTGCGCTACAAGGCGGGCTACGACCTGCGTCCTGCGCCCTGAGTGCGTGAGTGTATGCGTGCGTGCGCTCCGTGTTTTGCGGCGAGACTGTGTTTTGCCCACCGCGCCAGAGCACGAGAGCTGGAACAAGCCCCCCCACATTCCATTACACTTTGCACACATCAGCCCACCGCACGGACACCAATCACCGTCCCCATTCCATCTTTTCCTGGACTCTCTTTCCGCCTACAGCAGCCCCACGACATTCGTATTGGTGGCATTTGGCAGTGAAGTTGGGCGTTTGTGGATTCGGAGACTGGCTGCTGGGGCTGCTGCGGCCAGGCACGAGGAGGGTGGATTTGTGATTGCACCTGCCAGTGTTTGGACGACTTGACTGATCAATCTACGATAAAACAACATATCACAGCCGCTCCAGTTGGCCCATATTCGGCTCACCTGTTTAACTCCCTTCAGACACGCTCGCCAAAACAATCGTCGCCTAGAGGCTATCGGTAATTGAGTTTTCAACACTGTCGACGGGTCTGCGCTGCAAAAGACCAAATGGTTTTATCATCACCGCTGGACAAACTTAAGAGATGGTTCCAACCATATGTTGCACTGCTGCGGACGAGGGTGCACATAAAAAGAAGAGTCTCGACCTCCATTGGTGTCCTCCTGATTCCTTTCACTGTCATCATAATACTTTTGATGATTTCGTTTTCCCAGCGGCCCGCGGCGGTTGTTAATATATTCGTCCCGGAATTACCGCCATTAGCAAAGTACAAGAGCCTCTCGAGAATTACAGAACCAGCTGCTAATCGTGGACTAGAAAAATCAATGATAAATACGATGGTGTATTTCAAGCCGGTTGTTTGGAGCCAGAGGTGGACGGAGAAAGAGCCAACGCAGCATTTGTGGTTCTCGCGAGGAACAGTGAGCTCGAAGGCGTCATACAATCCCTGAAGTCGATTGAACGGCACTTCAACAGATGGTACCACTACCCATACGTCTTTCTCAACGATGGCGAGTTCAATACTACCTTCAAAGACACTATAATGAAATACGTCAGCTCTCCGGTGGAGTGGGGGAAGGTGGATTCAACAATGTGGGGTTTCCCAGACTGGGTTGATAAAGCGGATGCCAAAGAGGCTATTGCACTTCAGGGAGATGATGCAATCATGTATGGAGGGATGGAGAGCTACCATCATATGTGCCGATTCTATTCAGGGTATTATTTGACGATATTTTTATGATGAACTCATCTGACCTCTTTTAGATTTTTCTACAAACATGAACTACTCAAGAAGTACAAGTGGTATTGGCGTCTGGAGCCTGAAATCAGTTACTTTTGTGATATCACATAGTAAGAAAACTACCATCTATTTTGTTGCTGGCAAGATCTCAACATACTAATACTAAAACAGCGATCCATTTATCCACATGGAGCGGGCAAATAAGACCTATGGGTGGACGATTGCGGTAAAGGAATTGAGAGAAACAGTGCCTAACCTATTCAGATATGCATCCGCATATAAGCGTAACCACAATCTTCAGTCTCAGGGACTCTGGGAAATGTTTTTGGAGAAACCGGAAAAGGTGCAGCCACAACCAACCTCAACACCTGACCCAGATAACTGGACGAAAAAGCCGTCACTCCCGGAAATCGACTCGGATGCAATGGAAGGCGAGCGATACAATATGTGCCACTTCTGGAGCAACTTTGAAATTGCCAGCCTGGACTTTTTCCGGAGCAAACAATATGAGGATTTCTTCAACTCCCTGGACAAAACGGGTGGATTCTGGCGGGAGAGGGTATGGTTCTACCTGAGATTGGTCGAGAGACGAAGGCTGTACTAATAACTTGATGTAGTGGGGAGACGCTCCAGTACACTCGCTCGCCGCAGGCATTCTCTTGGGGAAAAACGACGTTCACTATTTCAGAGACTTTGGTTACCGTCACACTACTATCCAACATTGCCCCACCAATGCCCCCGATAAACAACTTCCACGAACTCCATGGTTTGATAAAAATCTCAAGGACTGGAAAAAGGCGAAGGAAGAGGACGAATATTGGGATAATTGGGATAGTGTTCAGAAGAATGGTGTGGGTTGTAGGTGTCGGTGTGATACGGATATCGACGATGTGGAGGACAAGCAGGGAAGTTGTCTTCCGCAATGGGTGGATGTTATGGGCGGTTGGGCAACTTCGAAGTGATTGTCGAAATGTAATTGTGATGGGTGGAGGCGGGGGAAAGAGTCATACCAGCAAAACATCAACAGGAGTTTTTCCATGTCCATCGGAGCGCAATACACAACTTCGAATTCGGCTTGGCATTAATGGTTAATGAGTCTCGGATATGTCCATTGTTTCATCATACGTTGACCTCAATGTCATTGTCTTTGTGGCGGTTGTACATCTGGTGGTTGTAGTGGGGTGGGTGGGCATTTTTCGAGTAGTATATTTTTTCATAACGGCGTATTGCTTTTTTTTTTTCCTTCTCATTCGCATGTTTAATTAGGGTTTTTATTGTGTCATGATCATAATAACTTTTCTTCTTCTTCTTTTTGCTGCAAAGAATCCAAATCTAGCATAGCTATAGCATTTTGCATATACTTTATAGAAAATCCGTTTTGTTTTTTTTCTTTGATACACAACGTCCATCCATGCATGTATCTTATCTTACGATTGAGAAGAATTCCCTATAGCTAGGTATAGATCTCTAGCTAGCCGTCTAGATCTTTATATTTACTCAAGTACATATACCGGATTCGGACTCTACCTATGTAATTATAATTTTCCAGGTATACATGCATATGATATGATATATCACCGGATCCCAAACCTCTAAAACCTCCAACCCATGGCCAGCCTGGGACGAGGCTAGGCCAGCCTTTCCAAGCTCCCTCCCTCATGAAGAACAGCAAAAAACCAAAGCTTCGTACGAGGCTCGAACTCGTGAACTTGAGGTAGCCCTTTAACTTACCCACTTTTTACTCCCAAATTACAGGTGGAGATATCATATAAGGAAGAAGTTTTATGTTAAAAGCCACACGCTCTACCGACTGAGCTAACGAAGCCAGCTTGTTTGGATGGATGTACTCTGGGTTATAGGTTAGGTATTGATGGATAAATGGATGGATGGATGGATGGATGGTGAGTGAGATATTGATGGGGAAAGAGGGAGGAAGTTGGAACGGGAATAGAGGAGGAAGGAAGGAAGGGAGGAAGGAAGGAAGGAAGCTTAAGAAAGTCAAGTGGATAAAAGCTTAAAGGGACTTCCTCCGGCCGGGGTGGGTTTAAAAGACCTCTTCGAGCTCTGGAGGTATTAATATTGTATTCTTTCACTACCAGGCTATTCTCCAGCTATTCTTCACTTGGATATACCTACTTAGGCCTAGGTTCCTAAATTTAAATGATACCTGAATTGCTCTAGATCTCGTCCTTATCTGAATGTATGTGAACTCGAATTCGTCTTTGCAATTGAGAACAAAAAAAATGTGTATTTCAGTTTTTTCAACTCATACAACATACATACCTCCTAAGTGGACAAAATACAATTTGCAAAATAAATGAATGTATGTATGGATCCCGCAGCTGATCCCCCATCCCCATCCCCCCAAAAAAATGTAATCCAATCCACGTGCACCTTGACGTCGACCTCTCTGTCATGACATGATCATGTTCCCATACCCTGGCTAGCTATGCTTCATAATAAAAAAAAACAAATAAATAAAAAAGTAAAAAGAAAAGAGGCCTAGGAACAGAACGAATGCATAAACATAAAAACGGATCATGAAGGATAGATAGAACACGTGCACAATTCCTCAACAGCTCCACATATGGAGAGTTGGAAAATGAATGAATAATGAATGTTCAAAGCCCACACACGGGCATCCCTCCCTAAATAAAAAAAAAACGAGCAAAGATGAAGGGCAAAAGATGAAGGGAAATAAATCATCATCATCATCATCATCATCACATATCCTCCGCCCACGAAACAATCAAATCCCTCGCCTTATTCGACATCTCATAGTACCCCGGATTCGTCTTTGGACTAAACATTCCCGTATGCGCACCCACCTCATCCAGCGCCTTCGGGTTAACACACTTGACAAAGAACCTGCTATACTCCGTGCCCTTATCCGGCTCCGAGCAGAACGTCCTCTCCTTCCGCAAAAAATTCGCCGTGGCCTCGTTGGCATTCGGGATACTAATCGACGTATCCCTCTCCCCCAGGGACGTGTAGAAGTTTGCGAATCCGACGCCCTTGATGGTGCTGGCCCGGGTCAACCGCCGCCGGAGGGTGTCCCCTTTGATCAGCTCAGAGACAAACTCGAGATGGCTCGAGGCCCAGCCGAAGCCCTGGCTGATCTCCTCGCGCTTGAGGTATGCTGCTGCGCCGCCTGCGGCGAGGGCGCTCGCTGCGCCGGCAAACATGGCGAGTTTCCCCCAGCGCTGCCAGGCGGGAGAGGTGTTTGTTGGTGCGTCAGAGTTTGTAGATGAGGACGCTGCTGCTGCGGCGGAGGCGCCTTCGGGTGGGATGTTCGATGCCGAGATGGCCCGTGGTTGTTTTGCTGCGGAGCCGGTGAGGGACCGGCCCGAGTCGGACCGCGTGAGGAGAGGGGTGTTGTTAACGTCGTCCGTGGCCTTTTTGGTCGCAAATAGGCTCGAGGCAAGACTCGCCGCGCCATTGATCGCCGCAGAAGCAGTCTTGATGTTTGTGTTTGCCGTATGTGCAAACATTCCCGTCGCTAGCCCAAGATACGGGGTATCGAATGCCAGAATGCCCTGGATATACGGGAACATGACTCTCCCCGCGGAACCAGACACCGAGGGTTCATCGATGATCGAGAGGAGAGCGTCTGCGGCCACGATGCCGCCCATGGAGTGGCACACGAGCACGGTCTTAACTGTCGGCTCGATCATGAGGTGTTGCGTGCCCTTTTTAGTTTCCATCTCGATGACGGTGTCTTGGAGCCAGTCACGGAGCTTCAGGACTGCGAGGGCGAGCTCGCCGCGGGTTTCGTAGCATGGGAAGACTTTTGTGCGGATGCTGATGGAGGGGATGGTGTGCTTTGTGATTGCTTTGATGTGCTGTTTTTTCCACCAACCAATTCGAAATACGTCAGTATGTATTGAATCAATGGAATAGAAGCTCGAAGAGTTAGAATAAAAGAAGGCCACTCACCTCCGGAAACTCTCCAAACGTATCATCATCACCCTAAATTTGTCCACAAACCCTATTAGCATCTCCACTCTGTACCACCCCACCCCACCCCACCCCACCCCCCCTCCACAAGGAATAAAATTAAAAAAAATCCAAACCTGGAACCCATGCACAAACACCAACAACAACGTCTTCTTCCTCTCCTTCTCCCGCCTACTATCCCTCGAACTATGCTCCCTCGTCACCTCCGGCCTCTCCTTCCTCGAGCTCTCCTTCGACCCAGGATCCCTCTCCCTCCTATCCTTCGACCCAGACTCCCTATCTTTATCTTTCTCCTTCCTATCCTTCGACGAGCCCGATTCCCGGTCCTTCTCCTTCCTCTCCTTCGAGCCAGACTCTCGAGAACCCGACTCCCTCGACCCCGACTCGGACTTCTTGCTGCTTCGTTCAGATGACTTCCCCATGGTGGTCGTTTATAATATACCTGCTAGCTTTACGTATGAATTGCGTATTGCGTTGGATCCGAGAGAGAGCTTGGTGTTGAGGAGCCTGGAATTGGATGGATGGAGAGGTGAGTTCCCGCACCAGCAGGGAGGGCCGTGGCTTCTCTATAAGAGCCGCAGAGCTCCATCCCACCTCCTCCGTGCGTTAACGTGTCGTCGTCGGAGTGCACACACGCTACCTCACAGCCTGCAGACTAAAAAGCAAGTGGTGCACCACATATGTGCACAGTCTCATCCTGCACCACTATGCTAAGTAGAGCAGATTACCAGCACATATATGTGAGAGCTTCGGCCAATGATATCAATTTTTCGGAGATTGTTGATAATGCACGCAATACTACAAACTCCAGGCGGGCGGGCGCCCTTGCCAGCAAACAGGAAACGCTAAGTACTCTTCTCTATCATATATGTCCATCCGATTGAAAAATGTACATGTTCTGATCCCCCCACCTTAAGCTTCCCCTCTATGCCCCTCATGATCACCCTCCCCCTCACCCCAGAAAAAGAAATTCGTATACCATACATGCACATGGAAGAAAAACCACAACAATGGTGCGAATTATACAAAGATGCAAAAATTAAGTGCAAAACAAGAGAAGAGAAAAAAAATGAAATAAAACAAGAACAAAACTAAAACCCCAGAATTCCAGCAAAAAAAAAAAAAAAGAAGAAAAGAAAAGAAAGGAAATATGTAAACATGGGATATAAAACAAAAAATTTACTTGCAATTTATAATCCTTTTTTTTATGATCATGGAACTCCATAACCAGCACCCTTTTTACCAGAATCATATTCATCATATTCATCATCAGAATCATTGCCGAAGGATGATACTTTTGAGGCGACAGTGGTTGTTGCTGCTGCTGCCTTTGCCTTCTTGCCAGCCTCAACCGCACTGTAAAGGCTCGCATAGAAGCTACGAACCTTCTCATGCGCCATAACCTTTCTCTCGTCAAATCTTAGAACCTGAAGGCCCTCCTTACAGGTGGCTCTACTGAGGGCAACATAGGCTTGTCCCTTCTCAAAGACCTTGCCCAAATCAACCTTTACTCGTTCCAGTGTTTGGCCCTGAGCTTTGTGAATAGAAAGGGCCCATGCTAGGATAAGTGGAAGCTGCATGCGTGCAGCCTGAACCTCACCATTCGGTAGTTCGACCTTCCAGGTCTCTGGCTGTACCAAAACCTGGCGTGTAGTACCTATAAAACAGATTAGTATTTTTTGCGTGCGCTCACGACACATTTGAGAACTTACCATCAGCTACCGCGAATTGGACAAGAGGATATTTTTGACCATTGTCTTTTGCAGACAAGGCAGCGAGTTGGGCCTTTATCCGCTTCCTACGCTTGGCCAGAAGGTCCTCCTCTTCATCGCGATCAAACCCTTCTGAGGTATCATCAAATGAGTCTAATCCACCTTCTTGCTGCGTCATCTCCCATGTCTTCTCGCTCATAAACCCAACAACACGCCCAAGTGAGCCGTTGACAAGAGTTTCGTCCATGTTTTTAATCAACATGACTTGAGCATTAGGCTTAAGTTCGATTTTCTGGGCAGCCATGCAGTTACTGAGTAATTTATCTCGAGCGACCTTGTCTTGTGTAGTTCCGCTGTCAATCGCATTAAAAACGACAGTTTCACCTTGGAGTAGTCGCATTTTCGACATATTTGCGGCATCAACTTCACCACGAGTGGGAAACCTGCGTATGTTAGCGTCATCTACTGTAGGAGTTTCAGGCCAGATTGGTTCTCACAATTCCGTAGCTTGTATCCCATCATCGAAGACGAGGTCCCGCTTTAGTTCCTGGAATATCATGTTGGTTTGAGCACTGATTTTTCCAATCCTCATTTCGTTCAACATATCTGCAAATACGGAATCCCTTTGTCGGAAAACCTGGGTCAAGCCAATTGTGTGCTCGATGGATGTTCCCCAACTAGAGGCTTCAAAAGCAAATTTTGCAGATTTGCCTTTGTCTGGCACGGGTGGTAATTGAAAGAAATCCCCGGTGATGACCAATTGAATGCCACCAAATGGCCTTCCGTTGTTTCGTAACTGTCTAGCAACCGCCTCTAGTTTATCAAAAAGCTCACCATCAACCATAGAGATTTCATCAATGATCAAGACTTTGGTTCGAAGCCAACGGTTTTTGGCCTTTTGATTTTTCTTGATGCGTTTGACAAGATCTGCTGATGGCTCTTTACCCAGACCAATCCCGGAATAGCTGTGTAATGTGACACCACCGATATTGCATGCTGCAAGCCCAGTGGATGCAGTGACTGCAACTCTGTCGGGTTCTTTTGAGTATTTGGTTCGGAGTTCCTGAATAAGTTGCCGTAATAGGACGGATTTGCCAGTACCTGTATCATGGGTTAGAGACGCCGATTGAAGCAGTGTGGGGGTACTGACCAGCGG